TGGGGTCAATCAGACGTGGTTTGGTTGGTTTCGGCATCGGTTGTCGAATTTGGAAGTTTCAAGTTCATTAAGTTTGGATTGGAGGATGATTTGTGTTTTATCGTTGTTTGATGTGATTTGAGGGCTCGATTAAGTTCTTATGGTGTTTTAGGATTGGTTGGTATGTTTGGTTGAGGTCCCGGGGGGCTCGGGTGTGTTTCGAATGCTCAACGGATCACTTTTGGACTTAGAGAAGTAGTAGATTTTCTAGTTTTTGGTTGCAGAGATTTCCTTCATCGCGTTCGCGAGAGGAGCCTCGTGTTCGTGTAGACCAGCTGAGTTTTCTCTTCGTGTTCGCGACGTTGATCCCGCGTTCGTGAAGGTATGGAGCATTAAGGCTACGCGTTCACGATAAGGACCTCGCGTTCACGTAGAGTCAATGGTCAGATGGGTTCCAGGCATAATAGCCTACGCGTTCGCGATGAGTGTCTCTCATTCGTGAAGGGTTAGGCTAGTTGAACTTCGCGTTTGCGACTGGTGCATCATGTTCGCGATGAGTATATTTTTTGGACTGGAGCAGCTTGTGCTTCGCGAACGCGAGGCTTTGACCGCTTTCGCGAAGAAGAGCGTACCTGGGCAGAATTTAAAGTTCAAAAACGAGGGTTTTGAGTTCATATCACAAAATTGGATTGAGAGCTCGGTAGAAGGCGAAATTCTGAGAGATTTTCAGAGAAAGTTATTGAGTAATGATTCCTAACTCCTTTATGGTTATATCCCACTAATGTATGCTTGATTTCATCATTTAATTTCGAATTTAGGGTGAAAAATTGGAAAAAGTTCTTAGGCCGAATATTTGGATTTTGATCGAGATTTTGGTATCAGATTGGAGTAATTTTGGTACGAGTGATCTCGTGAGTGAATGTGTGTTCATAATTGGTGACTGTACCCGATTCCGAGACGTGGGCCCGCAGAGGACTTTTGGATGATTTTCAAATTTCTTATCTTAGCTTTGATTTCATTAGCTAGATTAGTTTCTTGTAGCTATATTTATGTTATGTAATTGATTTTGGCTAGATTTGGGTCATTCGGAGTTGGATATTCATGGAAAGAGCATTGCGATGGATTGATTTGAGTTTGGTTCGAGGTAAGTGGCTTTCCTAACCTTGTGTGGGGGAAACTCCCCTTAGGATTTGGTACTGTTTGATATATGAGCGCCGTGTACGTGAGGTGACGAGTGCATACAACGGCTATTTGTTGAAAAACTCCGTTTTCATTAAGTAAAATATCTGTTTTCCTTTAACTGAGCTACACTAGCATATGTAATTATCATGTTTAGTTTAGGACAACATGTCTACGTGTCTTAACTTCTTATCTGAACTATTTGCAGCATGCTTAGTGACATTTCCTACTTCTTCATTGACTTGTACTTAGTCTAAATGGTAGTATTTCCGTGTTGTAGTTGTAATTCTATTGTTTGAGCTGCATATTTACTTTAGGACTATGAATTGGTATTCCAGGAGAACCTCTTGTACTGTATATTACTTTTGGACTACGGAATGATATTCCGCGAGATTCCCCAACACTACATATTTATTTTGGGATTACGGAACGGTATTCCGGGATATCCCCCTGCACATTTACATTTGGGACTACGAGACGGTATCCTAGAATATCCCCTATTGTAATCCTTGTGTTTTGAGCTATTGTTCTTCTATGCTTATATTCTTATTAAATTTCAGTATTTATTCTTACTGTGATATTTCTTTTTGTTAAATTTTATTATATATATACCAGTAGGGCCCTGACCTGATCTCGTCACTACTCGACCGAGGTTAGGCTTGACACTTACTGGGTACCATTGTGGTGTATTCATGCCCTTTCCTGCACATATTTTCCGTGTGCAGATCCAGGTTCATCTTACCAGCCTCATCACTAGTTGCAGTCGTTGCTGCTTATTGGAGACTTCAAGGTACATCTGCCCGCACCCGCAGATCTTCGAAGTCCCCCTCTATCCCTTTATATTCATTTTTCCTTCTTTCTGTAGAAATGATGTATAGAACAGTTAAGACTTCTTAGTAGCTTGTGACTTACGGTAATTCGGGTTTTGGGAATTGTTTGTTATATTTCAGAGGTGATAATTGTATATGCCGAGTGGCATTCAGTTGCTTATTAGATATTTGTTACTGTTGGTAGTTAATGTTCATGCTTTTATTTTATTTCCGCAAAGTGTTACGCTTACCTAGTCGTAGAGACTACGTGCCGTCACAACAACTCACGGAGGGAGAAATTGGGTCATGACACAAATAGATTTACAAGTTAGACCATTCAACTTCATTCTTATATTTTAATACCCATTCGAAGTCGTTAATGATACTACATCAATTGGCCATTGCCACCAAATTACTATTCATCCTCTTCCATAATCAACACTTGCAAAATATACAATTCGGGTGATTACTTAGTTGATCACTTCCATCTTTTGCTAACAAATAATTTCATAGGTTTATTGTATTCATAAATTTCATCGCCAAGATTACCATTCATCTTCTCTCTTATTTTCTCAAAAGTACTATTCATGCCATGAACTAGAGTTTTATAATCCAATCTTTCAACCATTAAAACTTGTAACAAATGCTTCAAATACTTCTAACGACTCATAATAAACTAGTTTGAATCATTGAAATTACCTTAGTAGCTCAATCTTGAAAAATCTTCTTGAGGATTTGATGATGAAATCTAGCATTTGGATGCAAGAATGATATTAGAACTCATGTATATTGAGTAAGAATCAACCTAAAATAACATTAACAACTTACTTGGTTGATTGGACTTGATTTGAGCTTAAAATCACCCCTTCACCTCAAGAACCCTAACCCCCGATACTCAAAATACTCTCTCTCTCTCCCAATTTGGTATTTATAGGCCAAGATTTTTGGGTTTCGGATGCGGCCTTGGATGCTATGACAGCACTTCACTACCATCCATTCTTTAGGATGCGGCCCGGATGCTTCGCATCCGCAAACTCCTCTGCCAGCCTTTGATAATTTGGTCATAACTTCTTGTAGGAATGTCCAATGACAAACTGTTTGAGCTAGGGGTGTTCACGGTTTGACGGAAAACCGATCCAAACCGAAAATCGAACCAAACCGATATTTTTCTTGATTTGGATTGGTTTTGGTTTTAAATTTTAAAAATTGATAATATTTGGTTTGGTTTTGGTTCTATTTTAAAAAATCGAAAAAATAAACCGAACCAAACCGATTAATTATATACAAAATTAATAATTATTTTTATACAATATAATATCTTTTTGTAAATAATTTTAAATATTTTATGCATTTTAATTGTTATTTTGAATTTTGGTTTATCCTTTTATATCTTAAAAGATTGCCAAAGCGCAAAACAATAAGACTCGACCAATTTTCTTTTCATTAAGAGACTCTAATTCTCTAACCCTCCGCACATACTTTTGCATAACAGAAGATTTAAAAAAAAACCACCACAAGAGTAAAGAAAGCAAATTCAAATTGCAAGGCAACAATGGCTAAAGCTTGAGAAAGCAAACTTTTAGTTTGTTTTTTGTTCATTCTTTTCTTATAAACAGGTAAATAAACTTTCAGTTCTGAAAGAAATATATAAAAAAACATAAATTTAGCAAATTATTTTCAGATTGTTTCTAGCGTTGTTTTACTATTATCGACTTATCATTAGCTTACTAAGAACCGAAAAACCGAACCAAACCAACAACAATCAAACCGATGGTTTGTATTTAATTTGGTTTGGTTTTGGTTTTAAAATTTTAAAAACCGATTAAATTGGTTTGGTTTTGGTTTTAATAAAAAACCGACCAAACCGAACCGTGAACACCCCTAGTTTGAGCATTAGAAACTAAACTCGAAGATCTTTCATTTTATATGTGTTACATCACATAACTCTTTATATACATATAGATAAGTTCGTCCAAAGTTTGGTCGTGTGCGTACTCATTTGGAACTTTAGTCTATCATGTAATTTTCAACTTGGCTTAGACTTAGGGCTCTCCTTAGACTCCACATCACTTATGATATGCCTCGTTCACTTATTATCATATCCAAATTAAAATCCATCATATTAATAGTCCTCGTCTGTACACAAAATAATATAATTAGCATACATCAACTTTCTTAATAGCGTTTAACTAGTTCGAAATTTTTTTTCGGGGTGCTACAAGAAACTTTCATGAATACAAGATCTATAAGAGTTAGTCATGTAAACTACAACTACTTTAGATATTACAAATTGTGCAACTTCAAGTTTTATAAGTTATTCTATTTATACTACAATCAAGATTATTGCTATGAATAAAAAGCTAAAAATAAGGAGATTCGTTATGTCGGTGATAAAATAATTAAATGCATATCAAAACAAAATAACTACTTACCTAAAAAACCTCAAACACATATGGCTAGTATTCTAATTCATTTTCATTATTCTANATATATATATTTTAGCTAATATTTACCATCTCCCCATTCCAGTAATTACACCATTTTTGCATAGAGAAAAAAGATATATTCTAAATCCAAATAGCCATTAAGCAATAAAACTTTCAAATTTTTGGTTGATTAAATTGAATTCCAGCCAAAATATAAAAAGGAAATAAGCAAACAAAATGGAAAAAAAATTTATGCGACGTGGGTCTGTGTGAGGGCAGGTGGACGCAGGTGAAAATGCTATGCGAGACGGGACGGGTTGACATCTTCGCGGGTTTATACGAATTTGCCCCGCAACCTCACCACAACACACCGCTTGCCATCACTAGATATAAGGATAGATTTGGGATTAAAATTCAAATGGGAGGCAAATCTATTTATTTTTTCTATAGTTGAGGAGCATATTTGAGCCAATTCACTAATGATAATAGCAATATTTGGAACTAAATTCAAAATAAAGGGAAAATTATTTTATTTCCCATAGTAACAGGCGATTCAAAATTTGGAAACTGGGGCATCCGACATAACTTTTACAAAAGCAACTTTCGAGTTTGACAATGGCAGTTCCATAATTCTTACCACTTTGGGAGGCCATTTAAGTACTTGTAAAATCGTAGTACATGCGTTAAGGTTACGATTGAGGGTCACTTTTAACACTTTCGCCGGGTGATAGGAAGCGACGTCCCTTTATATTTTGGCCGTCGTCAACAAACGGCGTCGCTGCAAGTCACGCCCGCCGGGGAATATTTCAATCTTTGGAAAAAAAATGTGATTAAATATATGAACAGAGAACTGAATTCCAAAACCTTGTTAGGTTGATCTATTTTTTTTTTCTTTCATGCGCGTGCGAATTTGTTGTTGCTCTAGAAAGCTATAAATTCTAGTATAAAAAATTGTGCTCCATATTATATTGAAAAAAGTATCGGTTTTGGTATTAAATTATTCAGAAATTTTGTAATTGGAATTTCCCATAATTATCTTAGGGAAGTATACAATATCGCTTTCCGAGGAGAATTTTCCTATGCCACATACTTCCATTGCAAAATTCCATCTTTTCATTGTTTGATTGAAAGATTCACGATTTGAAAGAGAGAATAGAAAAGAAGATGCTGTGTCAAATACTGCGACGGAAGAGGAAAACTGGAGCAGTTCCAGTTTACCTGAATGTGTACGATCTCACTCCCATTAATGGCTATGCTTATTGGCTTGGCCTTGGTGTTTACCATTCTGGTGTTCAAGGTTTGTTCCCTTTCAGATCTTGTGTCCATTTCTCTTTTGGATTCAGTTGTTATCTGGGCTTGAAATAATAATTTGAATCTCTATGTTAAATATAAAAAATTTATGCAAAAGTTGGCTCTTTTTGTCGTCTTATGTTTGATTTTGAGTTTCTTTTTCTCCAGAAATTAGGGGTTATATGTGCAAAATTTCAACAATTTATGCAAAAAGTTGGTTCTTTATTCAGTTTCATTTTGGTTTTGGTTTTTATTTGAGTTTCATGGTTGTTGGATTCTTCATTTGGATCTCAAATGATTGTAAAACCCTAAAGTTTTCTTCCTTTTACCATGACATGAATCCTTTGCTATAACTTGGGTAGGTGCTCTTTTTTGAATTAGTTGAAAAATTCCATGTCTGCTGAGGCTGTAGTTACTGAGTCAGCCTGAGGTAGAAAATTCCACCATTTGTCCTTTTTATTTTCTGAAAATACTTAGCTGGAGATTGCTTATATTTTCATTACATCACTGGGTTGTGACATCAGACTAGTTCAGATTTCTCATTTCAACATGTAGCTCTAGAGAAAGTTTATTGCTGTACAACTATGCTGCATATGGTTCTTTTGGTCTATGGAGACTTGGAACTACTTTCTTTTTTCTGACGGTGTCCGGGCTAACTTACACACACCTCGATTGGTTCCACAGATACCTACTACCTACCACGGAGACTTGGAACTTGATGGTTTTGGAAGAAAAATAGGAATATATTGAAGTTTGTCGGCCTTCCTTTTAATGTATTATCATGAAAATTTGATTAAGAGAAGAAGTGTGGAAGATGTTGTATTATTTGAAATTGTTGTCTAGGAAAATCTAGACTGTTTCAGTGAATGAAATTGTTTCTCATTTTTGTAGTTCATGGAGTCGAATATGCATTTGGTGCTCATGAACATCCGACTACTGGGATATTTGAAGTGGAACCAAAGCAATGCCCTGGTTTTACGTTTAGAAAATCAATTCTTATAGGGAGAACAGACTTGGGGCCAAAAGAGGTCCGGGCATTTATGGAGAAACTGGCAGAGGAGTATACTGGTCACTCCTACAATCTAATCACAAAAAACTGCAATCATTTTTGCAGTGACGTCTGCGTTCGGTTAACAGGGAAGCCAATTCCTCGATGGGTGAACCGACTGGCACGACTTGGTAATTGCTTTACCTCATGCTTCTGTCTTCCATGTTTTCCCTCTCATTCTTTACTTTGGGTCTAATTTTCTCACTGCCCCTGTTACTTAAAGCACACGGTCTGCCTTTGAAATATTGTTGATTGTTTTATGCTATGATTGTTTGAATTGCTTCAAAAATGGTTGCACTCTTTATTTCATTAGAAAAAGAAGGTAAGCACAGTAACCCTCAGGGGTTGGCCTGGTGGCAATTGACGAGAGCCTTGGGGTTTGTTCCCTTTCAAGGTCTCAAGTTCGAAAACCACCGGGTGCAAACAATTTCTGAGGGCAATCGGATTGGGTAAAACCTGAATTAACCGTGGTGCACTTGCGGGAAACTCCTTGCCGAGGGCCTATGCACCCCGGGATTAGTCGGGGCTCTTAGAGACTCGGACACCCGGTGCAAATCAAAAAAAAAAGAAAGAAGGTAAGCACAGTAACTTTTTCGTAGGAGCATCTATCAGCTTTCTCGAATGAGCTTCTTATCTCATGTCCAATTATGATGTCAATATACAATTCAGCATTTGGTGAGAAGCCATTTTTTTAATGTTCCTCTTTTGTTTTCTTTATTCTGTTTTTTAGGTAAGGTTGAAGGCTAAATTAACTTGAGCATCGCTGAGTATTTTAAATTGAAACAATCATTTTCTCCTTCCTGTACCCAACCACAGATGGGGAATGGGACAACTAAGACAATTTTTTCTGTATGGACCTTGCTTGCAATACTTAGTTTTTTTAACATGGTGGTCCTTGGAGTCTTAATTAGTGGTCCCTTATAGTTCAAGTTAATTAATAAAGTCTTAGGATATGTGGAAACATAAATGATGGATCTGGTTTGATAATTCACATGATTTTTCGAGCCAGCCTGTGACCAACTTGTAAAGTTTTCTGCACCTCAAAGGTGCCAAAAACTAAATTCTAATCCAATATTGGTACGTTGAGTTGCACTTTGGACATAACTCACATATACTTTGCTTGCCATTTGAGAATAATTTATCAGTATTTATATCCAGATTCATATTTTTTTAGTAGATGGATTAATTTGTTGCTTTTGACTCGATTCTAGGCTTTCTGTGCAATTGTGTCCTACCAGCCAGTTTGAATGAGACAAAGGTCCGGCACATTAGGGCAGAAGATAGGAGCATTGAGAAGAAAAAACTACGAAGCCATTCAAGTAGGTTCGTAGCCTCTTCTAATCGACCTAGCTTGTCCTCTCGTACTTCAGGATCTGCATCGTCGAGTAGTAGACACAGAAGTCGTCATCCTCCAGCCGTGCCCTTGATTCGTTCAACGTCACCATCAATATTGAAGCTTTAGAGTTATGGCTTTTCTTTCTTTCATGACGCAATAGGCTTTCATAGTACTAGACACGAGGGGTGAGAAAGAAGATTATGATTGTTTTTCTTGAAATTGTTCTTAAAAAAAGGAAGCTGCTTGGAAAAAATATGTGCAGCATTTGTGAATCTGTAAATTAGACAAATTGTATGGTGATTTTGTGATAATTGTAGAGCGTTTTTTATTTATTTATTATTTTTGGTGGAATTTGTAATCAGCTTTTTGTAAATGTCGACCAGGTGGTTCTAGAGTGTGGTTTTTAGTTGAATGAGCACATGACAAAAGTAGTTATTATATGAGTTTTAGACTAAGTTGCTGATAATTTAGTACTTTTGCCTTGTTCTGCACATGATTCTTTTAACTTGATTACAGCTCAGCCACTAGTTTTATTAGTTTAGTAAGTTGGACAGGTAATTTTGCAAGGCACTTGCATCTAAAACAGGTCTAATTTCAAGAATCAAGACTACTCTTTTCAATATCATTAAGGAGTATTTTTTGTACCTAAAACTTGAAAGTGCACTTTTTTTTTTATTTAATTATAGAAATCTTGTAGTTCTATTTGTTAGAGAGGCTGGGATTGGTTTGGCGGGGCCTGGTGTGTTGTAATAAATTTAATTTACAATTGGATGCTATGAGCCTCTGTTTTAAAAGGCAGAATTGCGACTCGTCCCGGGGCGGAGCACTTGTAAAACGCCTCTGGGCTTATGTATGAGGTTTAGTTCCGTGAGACTTACGCCTCGGCCGTCGGAGCTTACGCCCTGGACACGCCCAATGCCCAGCGTACTGGACTCGTCTCATAAAACTTTATGTAATTGTGTGTAACTAACCTTGTAAATCCTCAAATTTTCTTAATAAATCGTTGACTATTCAAAATTACTTTTTTTCTTAATCATAAATCATTAAGTTGAGAGTATTTTATGTCATAATTAAAATAAAAATTATTGCACATTATCCACTAAGACTGCTATGATAGTAAATTTTAAATAAATCTTTCATTTAAAAAGTATTTATTTATTAACTTTTGTTATGTGTTTATTATATAATAGTCCATAATATTTTTTATAATTTTTTTCCTAAATATTTTTTTCTACGTGTATGAGATACAATACTTATTAATTTAATAGTTCAGTATTAGCTTACGCAACTATTTACAAATAATTTGTTATCATGGTATAATATGTTGAATTATGTGTTACTTTATTGACTTGTTGAAACTTAAAAATAAATGATGTTAGAGAATCATATTTAAATTATGAATTATGTTTTTATATAATTTCACTTACAAATAGAAAGCATATTAAATAAAAGGAGTATTTGTAAAAAATATCAAATTATAATATCGAAATTCTTTCAAGATTCATTACCCTTTAAGAAATATATATAAGATTTCGTTTCGAATACATTACTTTTGATTTTTGAGTTGTAACGACGTTGCAACTAATTTCATATTATGATATATGTCATACTTTTCGTATTATTCATAGTCGAATTATAATTTATAAGTATTTTAAACATATTAGTTGTTATAATTTTGTGATTTTAATGTAATTTTTATAATTATTTTTTATTTTATACTATCTTAAAATTCTTGAAATTAATAAAATTTAAAGATCCGTAGGACTCACACCCCATGTCTCAGGACTTACACTTTGCCAGTAAAACGCCTCGCCTCACGCCCTGACGATTAAAACATTGGTATGGGCTGCTTTGAATTGGTAGTTAGTTTGTCTCTATCAATTCTGTCATGTGAAGACCATTGACCAATAAATCCAGACGTCTGGGTTTGAATGGTATTCCTGCCTTNATATATATATATATATTGTGTGTGTGTTATATTCAAAACTTATACAAATTTATACATTTTTTTCAGCTACTAAATGTAAATAGTTTTTGGCGCGGACTAAAATTAATAATACCCCAATTTTGTTAGCCTAGCTAGTCTGGATTAGAATAGCATATCCACGAGCAAATTAAAAATAAAGGGTTTGAACATGAAATATAAATAGGTACACACAATTGCTTCAAGTAAAGGACAATTGCTTTCCATCCCACTAAGTTTATTACTCCCTCCGTTCCAATTTATGTGAACCTATTTGACTGGACGCGGAGTTTAAGTAAAAAATAAAGACTTTTAGAATTTGTGATCCTAAACAAGTTCAAATGGGGCCCAGAGTATTTGTGTGGTTATAAAAGCTTCTCATTAAGGGTAAAGTTGTAACTTTAAGCTAAATTGTTACCAAATTTAGAAAGGGTTCATTATTTTTGGAACGGACCAAAAAGGAAATAGATTCACATAAACTGGAACAGAGGGAGTACTAGTTACTACTATCGACTATTGTTCGACAGGTTGTTGTGAATGTTTCTTTCGATTTCCAAAAGCACTAGCCACAGTAGAGATATTTACAGCTTGTTTGGATGGTTGTTACGTATCGTTTCATAATGTATCGTATCGTACTGTATTATATTATACTGTATCGTTTGATAAATACAATGTTTGAATAAATTGTGTCGTTTGCCATAGTTTCATCATAATATCACATACCAGCAATATGAAGAATAAACTTGCAATATTATAAAGAAAAAATTATGATACATGGTAAAATTATTATATAAAAAGGTAGGATAATGATAAAATAAAATTATTTAATAATAATGAAGGGTGAGATTGAGAGAAAAAGACAAGGTAACGGCGCGACCACACCAAATCGATTATTACATAAAGTGCCACATTTCGTCGTTATATAACGACGAATTTAACGATACGATACAATAAAATTTAAGTAACAATCAAAACAAACATCGTATTTAACGTAACAATACGATACAATACAATAGGTAACAACCATCCAAACAAGCTGTTAAGCACATTCTTGCCAAGAATAATGTGAGTTATAGTATTCACTAATGATATGAAATAATTTTTGTGCTAATGGTGTAGTTGAATTGATTATATTAGGTGGCTTGTATTGTTTTTAGGTTACCAATACATACTAATCATGAGCAAATCGTGTAAAATTTATTTACATTTTTGTTTTTCAATTACTAATTTGAACTTTTTGATCTTTAACCAAAAATGAAAAAGCAAAAACAAACCACCGTTACAACTCCAGGGTGCAACTTTTTTTCCCTCCTAACTCGACAAATACTAATTACAATAAGCTCAGTGTAATTTTATAAGTAGGATCTGGTAAGGGTAATGTGTACGGAGACTTTATTTCTACCTTAAGAAAGTAGAGAGACTGCTCTCAATCTCAAGATAAGATGAAAAAAGGAGCAGTAGCAACAAACAGTAACAATAACAAGATAGCAAGAGAAACCAAAGCAAAAGAAACAGGGGCGGCCAGAGGGCGAAGCCACTAAAGCGGGGGCTTTAGGCCCCAAAATTTTAGGGGCCCTAATTTTTTAAAATTCCTACTCAATATCCAGTATTTGATTTGGAGCCTTGAATAATTCGAGTTCGTATCGTGTAAAGTCTCCACGGTGTGGGATAATACTGGGTATGTTGTTGTTATTGTTGTTGTATCGTGTAAAGTCCATTAAAGTTGAAACCGCTCTCTAGAAAGAATCTTTTTCAATCCCAAGACTCGAATCGAATACCTCCTCTTAAGGAAGGAAATATCTTATCCATCCCATTACAACTCTTCCAATGAGGCCCCAAATCTTTTTAGAAAATATTAAATATTTCAAAGTAAAAAAGTAAGAAATTTATAGAAAGAAATAAGTATATTTATCAGTAGAAAATAAGTAATACACTTTTAAACTCCATTTTCTTAATTTGTTTTTGTTTTTTCTCACGTCTCCATCATTGCAATAAGTATATTGAAATATCAAAAAATTATTCTAATATAAAGTTGTCAACTTTTTGAATCGGGTTCTATTACATAAGATCAATAATATTACAGGAGATATTAAATGGTTTATGCAAAAAATAATTAAAAATTTTATTCTCAAAAGCTAGAAACTCTACTTCAAATAAAATATATAGAATTTTTTAAGGCCTCCTATTAAAGTTTGGCTTTAGGCCACCAAATTTATTGAGCCTCCCCTGAAAAAAAACAAGTAATAATAAAAATTTACGGATAAAAAAAATACAAGATAACGCCAATTTCCTCCCGACTCGACCAGTAAAAAAAAGAGTTTCAAAGCAAGAAGCGTTGGTAGTATGAAGTTGACAAATTCAAAAGCAGGAAAAGTTCCGTTAATCTTCCATCATCTAATGTTCTTCGTAAGGGTGGCAAACGGTCCGGGCCCGGTCCCAAACGGGCTTCGTGGGCCGAGCTTAAACGGACCCGGTCTTCGTGGGTCGGGCTTAAATGGACCCAGGCTTCATGGGCTTTTAGGTGTAACTAGACCGGGCCCGGGATCGTGTACTAATGGTCCCGGGCTATGTGCGTCGGGCCCGGTCCTAAACGGGCCTAAGTGGGCCTTGACTATTTTTTTTTTAATTTTTTTTATCTAAGGCAAGTTCTTGTAAATTATATAGCTTATATCTATATCTATAAATATATATATATACACTTTATACATTGCTTAAATGTACATATGTATGTATGTGTGTGTGTATATATATGGCTATTTATTTGTTTAAATTTTTTATCTAAGGCACTTTCTTGTAAATTATATGATATAGTTGTGACTTAAAAATTTTTAATTTAAATTTAAAACACAAAATATTGTAAAAGGATATTCAAAGGAATGCGTTATAATTTTTATTATTATAACATTAAGAAAACATGACCCAATCTTTCTTAGCTTCCACTCCCAATGGAATGAGCACAACTAAGGTGCTAATGCCACCATTGAGAAGAAAAAGAACTAATCAAAATGTGCCAAAATACAAGTCACATATTAATTTTACATGGTATTTCTTACAAATTTCATAAATCTATCAAGGTTCGGAGGAATTTCCGATGGTGGTGGCGGAAAAGAAGCTTGTTCATCACTGCTTCCGGGCGAAGCTGCTTCCTCCGCAAGTTCAACTAGCATTTCTTCGTAAGCTTCGTCTACCTCTGGTTGTGATTCAGTAAGTCCAAAATTTCTTCGTTCCGAATGGATCCAATCTATGAAAAGTACTGATGTTTCCAAGCTCTCCCTCATAGACGTTCTATAATCACCGAGTTGCAGTCTTGCTTGACTGAAAGCGCTTTCCGATTGTCACACCCCTTTTCTACCCCTCAAAATAATAATAATATGTGTATGGGCCAAAAAGTTTTTCCAATTAAAGTGACAAAATTTGAATAGGGATTATTTTATTGTTCAGAGTCGCCACTTAGAATTGATTTTTTCGGTGTTCCAA